ACTAGCATGCACTTGTTCACGTCGTCGAGTATGTGGCTCTCTGCACATTGCAGAGAGAGAGAGAGAGAGAGAGAGAGAGAGAGAGCAGAGAAAGAAAGATAGGGAGAGAGAGAGAGTAGCAGAGTTAAACACTTGCACGCACACGTGAGCAGGGAGGAAGGTACTAGAGGGGTGAGAATCAGCAGGAAACAATGTACTGCAGGTGAGAAGCAGGAAGGAAGGGACTAGAGTTGACAATCAGCATGACGAAATGACCTTTAGGGAACAAGTAGCATGAAGGAAGCGACTAGAGTTGACAATCAGCATGACAAAATGACCTACTGGGGACAAGTAGCAGGAAGGAAGGGACTAGAGTTGACAAGCAGCATGACGAAATGACCTTTAGGGGACAAGTAGCAGGAAGAAATTACCTACAGGGGACAAGTAGCAGGAAGGAAGGAACGAGAGTTGACAAGCAGCAGGAGAGAATGTACTACAGGGGACAAGTAGCAGGAAGAAATGACCTACAGGGGACAAGTAGCGGGAAGGAAGGGACTAGAGTTGACAAGCAGCATGACAAAATGACCTTGAGGGGACAAGTAGCAGGAAGGAAGCGACTAGAGTTGACAAGCAGCATGACGAAATGACATACCGAGGACAAGTAGCATGAACTGATGAAGAAAGTATTATGAGTGACAAGTAACAAAAGTGGAGATATCGCCACTCACCAGAGACTGCGAGGAAGTCGTCTATGGTGGTGATGTCATCCACAGCCTCTGTGAGCAGACACACCTGCTCCTCCCATGCCTTCTTAAACGCATCCATGTTCTCCAGCGCCACCTACAGTTGCACATGAACAACATAATAAACGTATGCACCGACCATGGTCCACTGCATGCAGCGTTACTACAATCCCATAAAACCACTCACGATAGATAGATAGATAAATAGATAGAAAATAGGTTGATTGCATAAACTTTACAATCACAGTTTCATAAAAACAGTTGGTACGTTAGGATAGAGTGTGCTAACATAACTGGCACATTATCCTAAAGTATGCTAATGTGACTCAGACACTACCATAGAGTGTGCTAACATAACTGGCACATGACCTTGGAGTATGCTAACGTGACTCAGATGCTACCATAGAGTATGATAACATAGTGTGCTAACATAACTGGCACGTTACCTTGGAGTGTGGGCGAGCAGCGAGGGTCCTCGCAGCGTTGATCACCTGCGGACACAGGCTCTCAATCTGCGCAGCAGCGAGGCGCACGACCTTGACCCGTTCTTCGTCGCTGGACATCGAGCAGGAGAGGGTGGCCACCTGCAATCACGCACGCACACGCGAGGAACCGTCGTTAACGCAGCATTCCGACAGCACGCGTGAAAACCTTTTGCGTATTCTCACGCTCACATCATGTACTTTACATACACATATCATAAATTAAATATTTTCCAGCAATAAACATCATTTGAGACTATAATGTACTTTATGCATAGAGGTAAACACAAAATTCCAATAAAATCACGATGGAATATTCTGAAGCTGAATTTGAAATCGCGGGACAAAAATGCAACAACAGCTAATAGTGGTGAGGATCTACACAGTTGAATTGTTTCTGGAGGCTAGATAGCTGGTTAAACCAAGCCACATACGTTAGCAACTGGCGAGCTTCCCAACATCAAATCATTCTTCACAGGAAAACATTGTTAAATCTTGTAACACAGATTACACATCGAGGAAACAACGAACAATAAATTACGTGGTTAGCAACAAGTCGCACGACCGATAAGACGACGTCGCGTAGCTAACACTACTGCGAGACTAGCAATGAAATATACGGCATTAATGTAACGAGGGGAGGGTGGGCAGGCAGGAGGCACTCACCTCCACGAGTTTGTTCGCGTGCTCGGTGAACACCTGCGCGTACTCCTCCACCTCCTTCTCGTTGCCGGCCTTCGCCGCCTCGATGAGAACCAACAATGGAACGTTCGTCTCGAGGAACGAGTCGGACACGTGGTCGACGACGGCCTTGCGCAGCTGCCGTCGAAGGTCACGTGTCTTGCGGCACATGTTGTCGATGGCGCGGCCCAGCGGCTCGCTCTGGTCCTTACGGCCGACCTGCAGACACCAAGAAAGCATGAAAAATGCGCGTTGATGCCGAGAAAGCATGAAAAACACAATACAAGGGATAAAAGTGAGATAAAGAATGACTGCAAAATAAGGCATATAAGCGATACAAGAATTATAAGTAATCTATGAGAGGGGATACCGTACACGCGGGCTGCGACGCTGCGACGTGTGGTGGTGGAGCAGGCACTCACGTTGTTCTCATACTCGGTGAGCAGGTATGAGGGAGAGGGGGGTACCGTACACGCGGGCTGCGACCTGTGGCGGTGGAGCAGACACTCACGTTGTTCTCATACTCGGTGAGCAGGTATGGGGGGGTACCGTACACGCGGGATGCAACGTGGGGCGGTGGAGCAGGCACTCACATTGTTCTCATACTCGGTGAGCAGGTATGGGGGTCAGCGTCAGTTTCTGGTTATCCGTCTCGTCTGATAAGGGTTCGTTGATCGACGTGGCGACTGACTTTCCTTCCCTTCATTGTCCTTATCTGTCTTGTCTGATGAGGGTTTATTGATCGACTGACGTTTCCTACAGCAGGCGAAGATCAACATGGACCCGGAAATGGATTTAACACAAATTTAATTAAAAAACTTTTCTTTTTTTTGTTGATAATTGATTATTTAGTTTCATAGTCGAGCGCTTAGTCAGTTGCTGCAAACGACTGACTTTCGATTATAATCGATCATCGGGACATCACTTGGGTTCACTGATCGACTGACGTTTCCTTCGGCAGGCGAAGATCAACATGGACCCGGTCAAGTACAACGTCGTCGTCACGCGGCCATCGCTCGAGGAGCGTCTCGAGAGCATCATCAGCGGCGCGGCGTTGATGGCCGACTCGTCGTGCACGCGCGACGAGCGCCGCGAGCGCATCGTCGCCGAGTGCAACGCCGTGCGGCAGGCGCTGCAGGACCTGCTCACCGAGTATGAGAACAACGTAAGTGCCTGCTCTACCGCCCCACGTTGCATCCCGCATGTACGGTACCCCCTCTGGTGGCAGGAAGACGTCAATCGAAATATTGGATACAAAGATACACAAGAACATCGGATACAAGGACATGAGACACAATGACATGAGACACAAGGACACACAAGGACACCAGACACAAGGACATTAAAAGGATATCAGACAACAACAGCACACAAGGACACCAGACACAAAGACATAAAAAGACACCAGACACCAAGAGCACACAAGGACCCCAAAACAAGGACAAACAAATGCATCAGACACAAGGGCACCTGACGTAAACTCG